ACCCTGGTGCTCATCACCCACATATCTTTACACCATCGGCTAGCTCAATACGTGGCATGTTCTTTGCCTTTCTGGGAAGTCTGCCTGTGTCTTTGAGAAAATTGCTACTCGATCATCTGGAGGAAATTCTACAGACAGTGCACAGGCTGACGGCATCCCACTCCGTTAGTGTTCTTACTTTATTGGAGCATGGGCTTTCGCAATGGTGAATTACACTTTGGATTGCAGAAGAAAGCAGATGTACACAGAGCAGCAAAGAAGGCTTGTCATTCAAAGTTAGTGCCAGGCCCAAGAGCTTGGCAAAAAATGCAGCATATGGAGAGACATTGACAAAAGATCCTCCCACCATCTGTATAAAAGAGTGTTCTTTATAAAAGAGTATTATGCATTTTACTTTACTCAATTTTTTTTTTTTACCTACTTACAGTCAGAAATAGGTATTTCTCAAGGCTCTCACCATGTTGTAATCCCTCTACCCTGGGCTCCCAATGGGCTAGGAATACTGATGTGTACAGTTGCACCTAACATGCTCAGGCTGACCTGGGAACCAAACCTGGCCTCTCATGTGGCTTCCGGTCTCCCCAGCACTGGTGTTAAATGTGCACTGTTTCTGGGCCTGTTTCTGCTTTTAAACTGAAAGTTTTTGAGAATCAGACATCTAGGCAGGTCTCAGTCAACTTAGTCATTGGGTTTTCCAAAACTGAATAAAGACAGAAAGAAGGAAGAGGAGGGGGCCAGGAGGTGACATGGTGGTTAAAGGCACTGGATTCTCCTCACATGACCAACTGCAGTTTGAGTCCTGGAGCTGGTGGCTTGCTTTTTCACTCTCTCTTTTTCTCTCTCTAATTAAAACTGGAAAATAGTAATAATCAATAAAGTTAAATAAAAAAATAATTATTTTTAAAAAAAGAAGGAAGAGGAGGAGGAAAAAGATAGAGTTTTCATCAGTGAAAGACTCGGGAATAAAGAAAAAAAAGTAGAAACTGAAGCCAATTTAACAAAAGGTATTAACCTCAGAAAATACCTCTGCAACAAATCATCAGACACACGAGATTTGAAGGTCACTTCAGGTTGAAGAGAATCAGAATACAGTGTGTGAGATTACCCCTGAAATAAACAATAAGTAGATAAAACAAATACACGTGCGTCAGAGACTTCTACAGCCTCCTTAGTGAGTATAAATTATGTATGCAATTTCGAAAGGGCACCTCCTAAGTACTCTCCTTTGTCGCCCCTGGTAGTGTCTGAGTTCTGATGTAGTGGTTATGTCTGCTCGGCGTCCTCACCGCCCTGGCCAGAGTGTAGGTGCAGCTGAGTACTTTAAACAGGAGTCCCGTCCTGAGGAAAGATTTGGGGAGATCTCCATTCACAGCGGCAGAGGTGGCAAACGGCTCCCCTTCTTTGAGCCAGCAGGTCCCTCACAGGAGCTGTGGCCCGTCTCCTAGTCTGTAGCCAGCTCCTCCTCTGCCTATGCTGTCAGAGTTTCCAGGCCCCAGCTGCTGGCTCTCCCGGCTTTCTCCCTCTTCGCTTTTCCACTCTTTTTCTCTTGTGTTTTCTCGTCTCCATCTCTTCTCTGGTGCTTTGACTCTCCCTTCTCCTTTCTTCCTGGTCTATGGGTCCATCTGCAGCACTGTTCTGCAGAGGGGAACTTAGCAACAGAGATGTTAACATCTTCATTGTATTTGTGTCCGAAAACGCTTAGCTGAGAGCCCCAACCCGAGAGGGCCTCCACCCCACTTCCTGCTCTAGGGTCCCACCATTTCCTCATCCTGTGTTAGCCTTCCTGCACCCACTCTGCCTCCCCATTGCTCACATCTCTCTCAGGATTCAGCTTATTCCTTCTCTTCAGCAGTTCTTACTCACCCCTGGCTCGCCCCCACATGCCTGTGTTACCAGGCTTGTAAACTCCTGTCAGCCATTTCTGCTTGCCATGCTGTGCTTCAGGTATCTGCCTAGATGAGGATCTCAGCTGGATGGTTTCTGGTTGACCCACCAGGGCTCTTCCAACCCCAGCACCAGCCCAGTGGACGCTCTACTGAATCAATGAGTGCACATGAGTCCAGCCTGGTGGGGAACTTTACTCAGGGAGTCTCCCCCTTGCCCTATTGGCATTTGGGGCTGGAGCTTCTTCATGGTGGGGGCTGTCCTGTGTGCTCCAGGGGGAGCTTCCCTGGCCTCTGTCACCCAGACGTGACAGCTGTCATAACCACACAAATCTCCAGACATCGCCAGACGTAGCACGGCTTGAGAAGCCTGCTTTCATCCTAAAGTGGTAAATGTATTGGCAACTTTTACAGGGTTCATTTTGATTTTCGTTCTCCCTAGGAGTGCTTTCATTTGTCACCTGGATCATTCTTACATATTCATTTCACAGTCTTTTAAAAAAAGTAACGGTTAATTCCCTTCCCTTCTATAGACTTCAGTCTTTTTGTACTCCATATGTATTATAGAGAAATATCAGATTGCGACATCGGGCCAGGGGTCTCTCCCTCTCATACTCCAGGAGTTCATAATTTTAAAAGAACCTGTGCCGTTGCCTTTTACTAGTAATTTATTTCTGCTTGGAGTTAAAAATTGTTCTGCTGAATCAAAATGGGCCCATGTTTTGTCTTAGGCTGTGATCATTGATTGGCTGGTGCTTAGCAATTGAGCAAGTAAAAACCAGAGAACATATAGGAAACGTTCATCTATTTTTCATGCCCAATAGGTAATATTCCCTTGATTCACAGAAGGAATCTGTTGTAACTACACTCAGCTGACGCTCCCTGATACTCAGAAAGAAACCGAGGCAAACAAACATTGTCAAATAAAATCATACCTTTATATTTCACATGTTTTTCGTCTTAGAAGGTTAAAAATAGTGGTAAGTTTTAGTAATGATAAATTAATTAAAACTGTATTTGTGGATGGCATGTTTTAACACCAATATCTTAAGACAGATGAAGATTAATTTAAAGCACTGTATGTACTCTGTGAAAGATAATCAAACGTCCTTCTAGGCCACGTTCAGTGTGTTGATAAATTCACTTGAGTTTTAACCTTTGTTCCCTTAAAATGGAATTCAGTTTTTGCAGCAGAGTGATGGGCAATGGCTGTCATGTACACGAAACTGCGGTGCTTACAGACTGTGGATCTAGTCGCACCGCGAGCTGGCCACGTGTGCAGAGAGTAGAGGGCTCTTGATCCTCGTTTAAGCAAAGTGCCCTTTCGATTTTTTCTCTTTCTTCTATTTTATATATGTATATTTAGGTTTTTCTCATAGGGCACTTACACTTGCGAGAGAGCGACAGTGAGAGGGAAAGGGAGAAGTCACCCCCAGATGTGTGGCCATGCCACAGTTCCTTCTCTTGCATTCTCCTTTTGGGATTTTGGTCAAGTGTACATATATTCCTGGCATGCTTTTCAAGCTGCCAAGCTTGGAACTCAGACTGCGGTCAGCCATGTTGGAATAAAGCACCTTAACCACCACGCCACCTGCAGGTCTTCTCCTGCTTTCTCAATATGGTAACCTGAACAAGAAGCCTCAGGTGAGGGACCCATATACTGTTTCTGGGACAGGAAAGAGGAACCAGACCTACTTAAGGACTGGCCCTCAGATTCAAAATTCAGACAGCCCGCATTTCCCCCATCTGTTGGTTTTGAGGAACTGACGTAGACCATGTTCTCACTGTCAGCTTAACTGCAATGTGATGTCTTTGGGGAGGAGTAGAATTTAGACTTTTGCTCATGGTTGTTAGTTTAGCAAGAGAACTCAGCTATTTTATAGTTTTGCTGGTGCTGTAGTATTATGAAAGCTCACTCTCAATTACAAAATTTCCCTTCTCCATGAAATAAAGAGAATAATGCAAAATGTAACATCTCAAAAATGAGAAAAATGCGAGCCATTTTA